CTGACATTTACGAATGGTGCTGCATCCTTCTCTTCCCAGACGCCTGCTAATTTGTTGATATCCCAAACACCTCATAATGATATGGTACAGTCGCAGCTTGCAAACAAGCATCCCGAGGCCAGGGGCTGCTGGCTGCCCTGCTCCAGGACACTTCTCGCAGGCCTGGCAGCCAGAGAGCAGAGCTGTGGGCCAGGGTCTCCCTGCACGTCTGACAGGACCTGCCCTGGTTCCTGCCCTGTGCCCCACATGCTGGAGGTGTCCCCCCACCTCCTCCCTGTGTGACTGCCCACTCTGCAGGGCCTCTGGAGACACTTGTACTATCCAGCAAAAATAGCAGAAGGGATGGCAGGGACAAGGACAGCATGCAGGGAGAGGCTGGCTGTGACTGGGAGATGGTGAAGAGCAGGGGGTGACATAGGAGACTTCTGCTTCAAGAGTGGGGCTCAGTGCCAGCTCTGCTTCCTGTCCTGCTGATGTTGAGTGGAATCCTGCTCCTCTCTGCCGGACCTGCTGGGATGCAGGGAAGGTGTCCCACACTATCCTGCACCTGTCTGCTCAGGAAGGAGAAGCTGTCTGGAGTGGAAGGCTCTCTGCCTGGTGTGCTGGCATGGAGATGCTCCTGCCATCCTTTGTGCTGAACTCCCCCTTCCCACGGGGGAAGACAGTGCTGCCCTGGGCCTTTGGGCTGGTGTGGGGAAGCTCTGTCCAGTGCCCTGTGCAGAGAGGGAGTCCGAGTGCTGGGAGCACAGTCCTGCTGCACTTGGTGGGGACCAGAGGGACAATGCTCCATCCTCTGTCCTCAAAGAGCTGCTTTGTATCCTGCTGCTTCTGGGACAGGGGAGCAGCCCCCCATATTGCTGCTTGTGCCCCCAACTTGTGTGGGGGCACCTCAGGTAGGGTAGGTGAGGCATGGGGCCAGCCTGACCCAGTGCAGCTCCCCAGGGGAACGCACTGCCTGGGGGACCTGCTGCACCCCACGGAGAAGCAGGGTGTCCACGGGAAAGGAGGTGGGAAGTACTGTTCCCATGGCTCCACATCAGGGCCCCCACAGGAGGGTCTGTGGGCTGGCCACCAGTGCAGGGTGTAGCCAGAGCCCTTTGCAGAGCAGGACCAAGCTTTGCCCCGGCCCTGTGTTGAAGCTGAGGCATTTTTAGCTCCTTGTGTAGCCCTTCTGCTCAGAGCTGTACTTCCCCCTGCTCAGAGCATGGAGAGGGGACTTGACACGAGCTGTGGGGGCAACACTCTGTGTCACTGCTGTTCCCCTTCCTTTTCCTCTCTGGCATCCCTCAGGTGTCAGTGGGACACATTGTTCCACTGAGCACCTTGCCACAGGGCTGCCTTCCTTGCGTCTTGGTGGGCACTTCCTTACCCTCCTGCTGTCCCTTTGGTGTGGTTCCCGGCTGGACACACAGGCTGTCTCCATTCCCTCATTCTTGGCAGCCCCTCTGCTCTCTGGAGGATGTTTCCCCCCAAGGCTGGTGTGTTGGCAGAGGGAGGGTGACTGCCCTGGGGCTGCTCATGTCCCTGCCCGTGTCTCAGCTGCTGGTGCAGTCTGGGTGCCATGTGGCTCTGCTGTCCCAGCCATGCCCTCCCTAATCCTGCTCCTGCTCAGAGCCCTCGTTCCTGGGCGGTGTTGGAAGGGGGGTCGAGGGGTTAACACCCATTAGCAGAGCCGGCTCGCACCAAACTCTGCTCAGCAACTCTTCACGGAGCTCAGTCTTTAAAATATCATCAAAAAATCATCAAGAGAGAGAGAGAGGCAGCGCGTTCATTTCCACTGCCCACTAATTCTAATGGAGCTGCTGTAATGGGCTCCCACCAGCACACTGGGGCAGCCGCAGGGCTGGGGGGCCGGGCTCTGCCATCTGGCCCCTGGACAGCCACTCACTCGGCAGCTGGGAAGGGCTCCCTGCTCCTGTAGGAGTGGCTTCCTCTGAGGTCTGAGCCCTGTCAGGTTGGAGCTGGCAAGCTCTGGGATTTCTCTGGCCTCTGAGAAGGAGCCTGTGCCTATGTGTGGAGCAGAGGAGGGAGTTCTGCCAGGTAGTCTCAACCCTTCTGCTTATGTCATCTGCTTGGTGCTACCCTTTGGAAACCTGTACCTCTCACCAGAAGAAGCTGAGAATGCCCAGTACTTTCCCTAAAACAACAGCTCGAGTCTGATCCAACTTGTATGGGTGCCCTGAGGAGCTCAGGAGCTGGTCCTAGACCATCCCAGAACGTCTGCACAGTGTTGGAAGCTGCTGCCAGCCCTTGATTCCCTTCCCAGCTCTGCTGATCCTCACGTGTGAATCCAGGGCTGTGATCCTGCAGGGCCACGCTCTTCATGCTGTGCCCTCCAGAGGCCTCCAGAGAGATCCAGCCCCACAGTGCCGTCCTGCACTGGGTGGTGGGGGATTTGCCTTAGCACAGCAGAAAAGCTGTGCTCTTTTGTTAGCTCTTCCTGGGCTCCGAGAGCAACACGGCCTTTGTTCAGCATGAAGCTGGAATCCAGGAGGCACAAAGAAGGAAGGGAATGGAGCTCCTGCGTCTTGCAGAGCTGGCGCCAGGGCTTTGGTTGGACTGGGACTGCTCCCACGGCTGGGTCTGGGCAGCCCCAGAGCTCTTGGGATGTCCCTCAGCTGTGACAGTAGGAAAGTCCATCCGAGTCGGGTTGGAGCCCCAGAAATTTCTCATCCAGAAGGAGGGAACTTCCTGCCCTATTGTAAATGTCCTGAGCAGCGTGCTGGGAGCCACATGGAGCCCCCTGCCCCAGCGTGATGCCTCAAGGAGCAGCAGTGACCCCCACACCAGAGCCCTGGGCAGGCAGAGCAGGCATTTGCTTCCCTGGAAAATGTAGCAGGAAGGCTGGGGCTGGGATTCCTGGGGAGGTGCTGGTCAAACAGAAACATGTGAGCCCACAGCAGGAATCCTCGCTGTGTCCTGCTGACCATGGTGACCTCTTCCTGCTGTCCAGAAGGCTCGGTAGCAGGCAGGACTTTAGGTGCATCCAGAGCTTCCTGAGTGCAGGCAGCTGGCTTGGGCTCTGCAGCACAGCAGCAGCAGCCACAGGTGGCTCAGACCAAGGCAGGATGTGATTTGAGGAGAGCAGGGCCTGTTCTGATGTGTCAGGGTCCCCCAGGAGCCCTGTCTGCAGATGCTCCCTCCAGCACCTGGGCAGCCTCTGCCCCAGGGAGCTGCTGCTCATTCCTTCCTGGCTGCTAGTGCCTGGCCCCAGGCAGCCACCAGCCCTGCGGCTGTGGGGGGATGGTCCTGGCTCCCCCGAAGTCTGCAGGCTCCCTGCCCGTGCTGGGGTCTGGCAGCACTCACAGAGGCTGCTGCCAGCAAGCAAAGGAGGCAATGCCTGTTAGCCTGCCTGTTGGCTGGGTATTTGCTCTCCCAGTATTCACAAGCTAGCAGCTGTATATTTTCCAAGAATCTTGTTCTTGAGCTGGGACTTGGTGTCTGTGGGGTCTCTCCTGTGGCTGAGGGCTAGAGGAAGGTGCTGGACAAAGTGGGACGTCCCAGTTACACCCGTGCATCAGAGAGAGGAGAGTCCAGCAGCGTGGCTAATTGCCTGCTCCCTGCAGTCTGCCGTCCTCATCCTCCCGAGGGCTCCCTCTCTCATTCCAGCAGGACAGAGGCAGTTGCAGAATCTTTCCCCAGGGGGAGTCACAGGATGATTTAGGAGTAAAAGAGCCTTGCCTTCCTATCTGGGAAGGGCAAGCCAGGACAAGCCTCATGCTGGAGTCATTCCATGCTCCCCAGGCTCTGATGGTGTGGAGACCCAGCCCTGTGTTCCCACACCAGTTCACGAGCCCTGGTGATCTCCAGGACTGGGACTTGTCAGTGCAGGTGCTCACGAACCTGGGAGGAAGGGCTGTGCACTCCCATCATGCCCAGTGGACCTGGCTTTCCTAGGGAGACTCCCCAAGGCTGCACCATGTTCTGGGGATGTTCATGGACACAGCCTGGCTCAAATGGGCCCATGTGGCCCCACAGTAGCTGAGGGTGGCTGCGCCCTTGCTGGCACCTGGCCAGGGGCCTCTGCAGCCATTCACTGGGGGCTGTGGCAGCTCCTCAGTCCCTGCCTTTCTGCTGCTTCCCTCCACAGTGAGGGGCTTCTGTGCTGCAGAGAAGTCAGGAGAGGAGGGGACCTCCCTCAAACCCCTCCAGACTCCCCTGCTCACCTCCCCACGTCCCCTGGTGTGCACAGACCCTGCCAGGCTTGAGGCCAGAGCAGCTCTGCCTTGATGTGGACCAGAGGCCCCTCGGCCTCCGTGCTGTCTCTGGAGCTGAGCAGTTGACTCCCTGCTTTTAATAGAGAGCTGGGAAGGCACATTATGGAGATGAGGGTGTTATTTGCATAACGCTAATTAGGTAATTACAAATCATTTTGCTATGAGCTGAAGCGTGTGCTGTGACATAACGTTTATTAGTCATTCCATTCAGGCCCCGCTTAGTTAAGTCATTTACTGCACTAACTACTGAAGTTGGCAATAAAAGGTAAATGCTGGTGCTGGGTGTGAGGCTGACATGACACCCCGTGAACTGTGCCCGTGGGGGGCCGTGTGAGGCAGAGCCAGGCTGGCAGGGTTAGCAGGGCAGAACACCTTTAAAGCCTTGGTGAGGAGCCAGCCACAGGCCCCTCTTGGACCAGCTCACTCCGTGTGCTGGCCCGTGGCTCCAAAGCCACTCGAGGGCGGGCACTGAGCACCGGTGCTGTCTGCAGGCACCCGCTCGGTGCAGGGGCCGATTTCACTGCTCCACAGGTTGGCAGCTTTCTCTGAGGGCAGGACACGGGGCAGGGAGAGTGGGCACGAGCCAGTGGAGCTGGCCTTTGGAGTGGGGCAGAGGGAGGGACGGCTGGCACAGAGCTCTAATTCTTCTCTGTAGGCACTTTCCTGTCCCAGTCTCCTGGGCTCTGCTGCTGCCTCGACCCGGCCACGTGGGGATTGTGGTGGCCTGCCATGGCAGACCCCTCCTTCCCAGCCCTGTGTCATGGCACACCTTTTCTCTTCCAGAGCCAGACGAGCCGTTTGAGTTCATTATCGTGTCACTGACGGGCCAGACGTGGCTCTTTGAAGCCTCAACATCAGAGGAGCGGGAGCTCTGGGTGCAGGCCATTGAGAGCCAGATCCTGGCCAGCCTGCAGGGCTGTGAGAGCAGCAAAAACAAGGTAAGAGGCCTTGGCCAACTTCTCTTCTGTCTTCTCTGGCATCTGCTTTGCCACATTCCTCCATGTCCCACACTTGCCACACTGAATCCTGCCTTGATCCCTCTTTTCCCAGTGAGAGTTCAGTCCCATCCCTGGCACTGTGCACTTCCCCCAGGTTTCTTGTCACCTCTTCCCCGCCTGGCTCTGGCCCCATCGAGTACTCTGCATCCCATGTGGCTGGATCCTGCATGGTTCATTCCCTCCCTGGACATTTCTGCCCTTTCTCCGCACTGTCCCCTGCCCCTCTGGCGCACAGCAGAGCCTGTTACCAGAGCCCCCACGCTGGCCAGCCTCACGGAGCGTGGTGGGGTGGCTGGCCTGCGGTGAAGGGAGCCTTGTGGGGTTCTTTGCAGGCTCGGCTGGGCAGCCAGGGCGACGCGCAGGCCATGCAGGCCGTCCGCACCGCGCGCGGGAACAGCTTCTGCGTGGACTGCGACGCACCCAGTAAGAGATGTGCGCTGGGGGGCTCATCGCCAGGGGAGGGCAGGGAGGGAGGGGGCTCCAGCCACCGCAGGCACCCCTCTCTCAGCCCACAGAGACCTGCTCTGTGTGTCTTTGCCGTCCTCTCCTGTAGTGGACCTGCTCCTCGGGGTTGGGCTACGGACCACACTGGCCTGTGATCCCTCACTGGCCAGCCTGAGGTCTCGGCCTCTCCCTGTCCACCTCTCCCAGGGACACTGAACTGGGAAGGGCTCTGGTGGGCAGGTGTCTGCAAATACGAGTCTGAACCACGGGAGATGGGCTGGTGAGTCCTGGCAGGTTATTAACTCTTCCCCCACTGATCCTGCCGCCCTCAGATCCGGACTGGGCCAGTCTGAACCTGGGTGCTCTCATGTGCATCGAGTGCTCCGGGATCCATCGCAACCTGGGCACCCACCTGTCCCGTGTGCGCTCCCTGGACCTGGATGATTGGCCCAGCGAGCTCCTCATGGTCATGGCGGCCATCGGCAACGCGCTTGCAAATGCTGTCTGGGAGGGCATGGTGGAGGGCTACCCCAAGCCCACGCCTGAGAGCAGTCGGTAAGGGAGGTGGCGAACCCCAGAGATGCTTCTTGGGAAACACACCAGGAGGGCTGGGGGACACTGCGGGGGTTGAGAGCAGCCACTGAGGCAGGCAGGATTCCTCAGGATGCTCCAGTGTTGGGGGTCCCGTCTGCCTGCGCTGGGCACTGGCCTCCCTCTCCTGCCATCCTAATGGCCACTGGGGCTCCAATGGCAGCCGCAGCCACGCCGTGACTCTGGGAGCCGAGGCTGGCTGCAAAGCCGAAGGGGTTAACAGAGATGGCTTGGCAGCGTCGTGCGGGTCTCCAGGGTCCGTCCCTTTCAGGCCCTTGTCTGTCACTATCGGAGCCACTCTCCTGTCACTCATCCCAACAAGAGCCCATTCTGCGGCTTATCAGCGGCGGAGCGCGGGTCAGGGGGCGGCGGCAGCGAGCGCGCTCGGCGGGGCACTGATGGCGAGAATGGCAGCAGATAGCGGCGGGCCGGCAGCATCGATCCCGGCCCGCGGCCCCGGCGGGACGGACGCGGACACCGCCTTTGTTCGCACCAGGCGCGACGGCGGCAGCGATAAGGGGCCTCCCGTGGCACTGGGCTGGCGTGTGCAGCGCTAGCCTTTCCCTGCCGCTGGCCATGGCCCGCACACAGCACGGCACAGGCACGGTCCCCGAGCTGCCACAGCACGGGCACGCAGCCCTGGGTGCGCAGAGACAGGTGTGGGGCTGGGAGCGAGACGCTGCTGCTGTGCAGGCCTGGATGTGAGCACACAGTGTCCATGAGATGTGTAAGGAGGTGCAGCAAGTCAAGCAGGTGTTGGGCAGGTGTCCAGAGTGGGATGACAGGGACTTGGTGGCAGCTGTGGGGCACAGGGGCACGGCAGGGGCTGTTCAGAGCATACCTGGGTGTGATGGATGTTCACTGCTCACACAGGTATGTTCACATGACAGTGCTGATGTTCATGTCCTTTTGTGCTTGGGGCCCGGGCAAATTGTCTCAGCCGTGACAGTGACAATGTCCTGTGTGGCAGGGAGGAGAAGGAGCGCTGGATCCGGGCTAAGTACGAGCAGAAGCTCTTTCTGGCCCCTCTGCCCCAGTCTGACATCCCGCTGGGGCAGCAGCTGCTGCGGGCCGTGGTGGAGGATGACCTGCGCCTCGTGGTGACGCTCCTGGCCCACGGCACCAAGGAGGAGGTGAACGAAACCTACGGAGATGGGGACGGGCGTACAGCGCTGCATCTCTCCTGTGCAATGGCCAATGTAGTGTTCACACAGCTGCTCATCTGGGTAAGGCAGAGCCCGCAGCCTCCACCGCAGGGCTTCTGGTGCTATCCCCACCCCCCGCCTTTATCCATCCTGCTTCCCTGGGTTCCCCCACGTGCCCACTGGCACTGACCTGCCCACCCTCCCAGCTCCTTCCTCCTGTCTTCCCCAGATCCCCTCTGCTCCCTGCCATTCCCGCGCCCCTGGGCACACGGTTCCCAGGCACCACTGACCAGCTCTTCTCTCCTGGCAGTACGGAGTGGATGTGAAGAGCCGGGACGCTCGGGGCCTGACCCCGCTGGCCTACGCCCGGCGAGCCGGCAGCCAGGAGTGCATCGACATCCTGCTGCAGCACGGCTGCCCCAGCGACAGCGCGGCCACGCTGACCCCCAGCCTGCCCCGCCGCAACGCCAATGCCAACAACAACGCCTGCACCGCGGCGCCGCCGGAGCTCAGCGCCAGCCCCGCCACAGCCTAGCCCTGCACGGGCCCTCCGGTGGCCACACAGCTGCCCTCCAGCCCTGCCAGGGACCAGGGCCGCAGGAGGGGCTCTGAGAGCAGCACAGACCAGCCCCACGCTGCTGGCCCCCACCAGAAGCCCTGTTCCAGCCAAGAGGAGGCTGGGAGCCAGCTGGGAGCCAGCATCCTGCTCCTCTGCTGTTCCAGCCACCTCTGGCCATGCAGCTGTGCAGACCCAGTGCTGGCAGCTGTGGAGGGGCTCCCACATAATCACTGGGGTGGCTGCAGTGCACCCCGTTCTCGTGACCGGTACATGGATGGGGAGGCAGTTTCTCCTGCCCCCCCTCACACACATCTGTAGATAAAGCAGGGGCTGGGGGCAGTTCAGGTATGTAGCCCCCCCTGCCCTGCACAGCAGTACCGGGGAGGCTGATGGCTGCACCTGCTCCCTCAGGCAGGTCGGTTTGGGCACTTCCTGCTGCTGTCCCTCCGTGTTGGCCTCGCCACACCCCCCGGTGCAGCAGTGAGGTGGGGGGCAGCAGGAGGTGCATATTCCTCCATTGCACCCCCGTGCTCCTCTGCTGCTGGCCGGTGCAGGAGGGGTGCACGCACCGATGCTGTTCCCCACGTGCTGATGCAAGGGTGACATCTCCCCAGCACAGCAGCCCCTGGACAAAGGCCTCCCCAGCCTCTCTGGTGACCTGCAATGGGAAGAGGATGGTCACCTCGGGATCCCCAGCTCTGTCTGTCTGTCTGTCTGTAGAGTCACTGTCCTTCCAGGTTAAAGCTCCAAGCCATACACAGTGTCTCCATCAGAGCCTCCCGCTGCTGCCCAGGTGGGGCTGGTCTCCAGCTGAGCAAGAGGAGAGGAGAGGAGCATCTCTCTCTGCATTGGGGTCAAGCCTCTAGCTGAATGCCGGAACCTCAAGGCTTTGGACACTGCTATGGAATGTCTCTGTCACTTGTGTATAAAATGTACATTGGAAATATTTATATGGACACTCTGTATATACGGTTTCTTTTCCATGAGTTGCCCTGTGTGTGTTATCTGCAGCCAAGGAGATAAAGGCCAATAAAGCAACCCACCTCCTGCCAGGCCAGCGTCTCAGTGTGCTGCCTTTGGGTTTTCCAACGCAGCACTGGTTTGCAGCTGGGTCTGGTGCCTCTCCAGCCCACACTGACAAACATTCAGCCTCTTCTCCTCCAGCTCGGGCTCTGATCAACAGCAATCCTGTGCCAAACCGGGCCCCTGGGACATGGCAAAGTGCTGAGGTGTGGAGGGGAGATGTGCCAACCCTGGGGAACAGTGCCAGAACATGGCCCCAGAGGAATGCACAGCTCTGGTGGGATGGGAGATCTCACAGCAGAGGAGTGTGCTGGAAAGGGGACGTGCAGGGCAGGAGTGCTGGGCCAGCTGGTCCTTGTGCACAGGACAGCAAGTGTGAAGCTGGGACGGGGGAAGGCAGAGATGGGCAGGGAGTGATAGGCTGCCAGAGCGAGCAAGGAGTCTGCTACGGCTGCACCAGACCAGGGATCATTGAGTCCCGGAGCCCTGAGCACTGAAGGGACCGTGTGTCTGCTCTGCCAGCCCTGACTTTGCATGCTTCTCACAGCTGGGGCAGAGCAGGGCCCCGGTGCTGGCGGTTCTGGGCTGGCTGCACCCCAGGCTGCCCCACAGTTCAGGGCTCCAGTGTCTCTGTGCTGTGCTGGGCTCCAGGCTCTGCTGCACTGGGCACAGGCCTTGGGCCCCAAGCCTGTGGCAGTGCTGCGAGAAGGGAGGTGCAGGACACCCCCAGCTGCCACAGGTACCCTCAGATGTCCCTGTCAAACCCCTGCTGCCTCCTCCTCGTGCCACTCCCATGGCGGAGGGCTGCCTTGCTGGGGGCTGCAGAGGGTCTCTCCGCTCCTTGATGTGTTCTGACTGGGTGTGCCCTTGTCACCATCATCAACCTCATCCTCATCCCGGTCCTGGTCCCAGTCGTGGTCCCAGTTCCAGTCCAGCCCCTGCACCCATGTCGCCCCTCATTGCCATGCCCTGGCGGTGCCCATGGGTGCCCCCGCACCGCCCGGCCCCAGCCCAGTGCTGGGTTTGGTTAATTTCCTGGCGACTGCATTAACGGGAATGGAAGCCGAGGGACGGCAGCTCCTCTGGGGCCCATTAATCATCCCCCTCAGACAAGCTGCCTTGATTACAAGTGGCAAGAAATTCATTAGGGCTGCGGCTCTGACAACTTTTATCTGCGCGGCTGGATCTGACTCATTAGGCAGCCAAATTAAAGCCATGATGGGCCCTGATGAAATTCACTGCTTGTTTATCTTGTGCGATCTGATACATCTGCCCATACATCATCTCCCGCGCGGGATCCCGCCCTACCCAGCCCTGGCGCCTCCCTTCCCATCCCAGCCCTGCCCCGGGCCCGCGGGTGCCCAGCCCGGACCCAGCCCTGACCCCCGGACACCTGGGGGTGTCCCCTGCCTGTCCCCACACTCTGCCTGTGCCATCGGGGCTGGAGCTGGGGCTGCGAGTGATGACCGTGCTCCAGGAGCCGTGCGGGGACAGCTCTGGAATCAAAATGCTGAAAAACCCTGAACTGGAGGGGACCCACGGAGATCATCAGTGTCCCTGGTGTGGGGCCACGCAGCCCCCACGGCCTTGCTGTGCCCATGGGCTGCAGCCCCTCGGGGCACCCAGAGCCCTGGCCAGGTTCTGCTGGCAGTGCCACTGCTGTGGGCACAGCCCCGTGGGGACAGGCTCCGTGCCCTGCTGCTGCCCACAAACTACAGACAGGTGCTGGGGATCCCAGAGATGCCCATTTGCTGGCACCTGGGGGCAGGGAATGCCAGCATATCCTTGCAGGCTCTGACACCGTCCCAGGGAGCCAAGAGTGGGCCAGACCCCACAGCAGCAGCACTTGTGCCCAGTCCTGCCTTGCCCCAGCCCAGCGTGACTTCAGTGTTGGAGCACATCTGGGTGCCAAGGTGACCAGTGTGGCCTCAGGTGGCCCCGGCCAGCACAGGCTGGATGAAGCAGGCGCTCCATGTCCGTGTTCAGGGGAAGAGGTGTGTGTCCATGTTAGGGACTGGAGCTGTGTCTGTGTTTAAGGGCACAGTGTCTGTTTTTTTTGGGGCAGGAGTCAGGTGTCTGTGTTCAGGCCGATGCCAGGGAGGGCACAGGCCAGCCCTCTGCTCTGCTGTACAGCACAGGACCGTGCCAGGGCAGCAGCAGTGGGACTGTCCCTGTGCTACTGGCCCCGAGCAGGTCCGCGGCAGCACCCGGAGCTGAGGCTGGAGCCAGGGGAGGGAGATGGGTGCCGTGGGGCAGGAGCTGTGGGATGCAGCCTTGCACCGTGAGTAAATCCACAGTATGCAGCCTCGGGCTGGGAACCACCCATAGCACCGGTTTGCAGCACTTCCCAGAGAGCCTGGGCACTGCCAGAAAAAGCCCCACAGGGTACAACTCACAACTGAAGCCCCATGGGCCTTCTTGCAGCCCCAGCTGAGCAGGGATCTGTAGGTGGGCACAGTAGGGATGTGGGGCAGCGCTGCCCACCCTGCAGCTGCTGGGCACATGCTGAGCACATGCAGAGGTGCTTCTACAGGAGATGGTCAGGGCAGAGATCCTGCCACAGGATCTGCTGTGCCTCCATGTGTCCAGGCAGCCTTGCCTCTGGGGGAAAAGGCACAGGTGTGACAGTGTCCCAGCTGCCCTGGCCTGTGCTCACTGAGGTACAGCACCAGCACATCCAGTACAGCACCTGCCCCCTGTGCCCCTTCATGGTGTCAGGCCTGCGGGTGGGTGCAGACACCCACAGCAAAGGCAGTCACAAAGCCCAGGGGGGAGTGCCGGCCTGGCTGATGGGGACACTGGACAAGCTGGCACAGGCTGCAGAGGAGCTGGGGACTGGTCAGAGGGAGCTCACGACCCTTCCCAGGTGCCAGCCATTGGAACTTTGTTTCTCTCTTGCCCATTGTTTCCGTCCTGCACCTGAGCTAGTCCTGGAGCCGCTGGCTGATGAATAGCACCAGCACCATATTGTGGACCGTCACATCTTCATACAAACCCCTTGTCAGGGAATGCTGAGGACGAGCTTTGTTGTGCTGAGTGAATAAAGGCTCTGTGGGATGTAATTCCTGCTCCTTTCCCAGTAATTTAAGAACCACCATACAGGTAAACAAGTGGACAGGTCTGGTTAGGGAGAATTCCCTTGTAAATGCTGAAATTTACAGCATTAGGGCAAAATAAGTCTTGTTCATAGAAGTGTGTGTGTAAACATATAAACAAACACATGTCCATGTATATACACAATGTATGTATCTATGTATATATTTATCTCTCTGTGTGTCTGCACACCTATGTCTGCCTTTTACTCTCTATGTGTGTTTGTGTGTGTATGTATCTGTGTGGGATTCCTTCCCCAGCAGTTCATACTCCAGGACACAGGGTAACAGCCAGAAGCTTGTAGATGGGAAATTCCCAATAGATGCAAGTGAAAAAACATACTAGAAAGTGGTTGGGCACTGTTACAGGGCCCAAAGAGGAGGGGTTGCCCACCCTTGGAGATACTGGAAGTCAGACGGCCAGATGGGCAAGTCCTTCAGCATCTTGAATGGGACAAGCTTCGAGCAGGTGTTGGAGCAGAGACCTCCCAATCCCCACCCAGCTCCACGGCTCAATTGCCCTGGGTCTGTCCTTACTGCCCAGTTTGTCACTGTGGCTCTCCTTCTCCCACCAGCCCCAGTTTGACCCAGCACACAGAGCTCCAGCTCATGGGGGTCCCTACAGCTCCCCCAACTGAGGGGGCCACAGCTGCTTTGGACAGTGTGGGCAGTGCTGTGCAGGATGTTCACTGTACAATATGGGCATTGCTGTGCACCGTGCTCACTGGGCAGTGCTTTGCTCTCCGCTGTGCAGGAGGCACCAGAGCCATCACGATGCTCAGGGTTCACAGGCAGCTCTGCTCTGCTCTGCTCTGCTCGGTGCCAGGAACACTCTGCTGCTCTGCAGCTCTCTCCAGCAGC